GAGGAGGTGACCCCAGGTGAAATAGATTTTAGTCTTACACTCAATATTACATTCGATCCTATTGTGCGAGAAAATGAATCGCCAACCATCTACTATAAGGCGTTTTATGGAGAAGCACGGCCATATCCAAGAAAGGAAGAGGTACATGTACAGCTGCTGGCAAATATTTCCGTATTATCCTTCATTCAATGTCACTTCCTCCAAATTTCTTCAGGAGGCGATTGTTGGAGTCAATTTAACACACGTTATCGGTAATGCTACCAATTGTTTGAAATTTGACAAAAACGGCTACTGTTTGGTAAGCATGATTGATGCGCATTTTGAGAATCTTTTTTTTTGAACTCGAAATAGCATGTTTTGTAAACATTTAGGAGAGCACCAACTACAGCGTTGCCGTAGCCGGTATCCGGTACGATAAACTATACGGTATAACGTTTTGTGCCGTGAAGGATCCCAGAAATATAACCATTCCTGATTTGACGAGAGCTAGCAGGGCTTTCAAACCTAGAGCAGACAAAGTTTTTATAAGAAGTCCGTAATCATGCTTTGGAACCATAATTACAATTTTTATTTCCTTTAGAAGATATACCAAACCATGTGGATATATTCATCGGTATCGCTGTCGGAGCTGCAAATCTGTTGGTATTGGTTACTATCATCATCTGCTGTCACATCACTAGGAAACAGAAGAAGGAGAATAAACTGTATCAGCTGAAGCTAGCGCAGTTAATAAGCGAGAGAGCGAGGCAATACATTAGTAACATAACAAGGCATGTTGATGAATTTGTTGCGTACCTAAATATGCTATTTGCTAAATTTTAGACATGACATTTGGGAGATTGATCGTCGTAATCTAATAATTCACGAGGAAATGAAGCTCGGTTCTGGGGCGTTCGGAACAGTTTATCGAGGTGAGAAGTGACCTTAGAAGGAGGTCAGTCGCAAAAAATGTAACATATAGCTAGTTACCGCTTTAAGGAAATCTTCTTGGCAACTCAGTTACAGAGAAGCATCCTGCATCTCCACTAGGTGTCAATTTGATGAGAGCTAAAAATTGCCAGGTTTGTGACAGATAATTCTCCGTGTGTCTCAGCTATCACTGTAATTATCTTGTTTTCATCATGGTTGCTAACGTCTCTTGCAAAATTTAGTTCAGGTTGCTGTGAAAATGCTACCAGAATGCGCTGATGATGTGTCCAGAGGCGAATTTCTGAGAGAAATTAGACTTATGAAAACACTTGGATATCATGAAAGGCAGTAAATTAAGCACTCAGAACTTCCTCTAAAGACTTTGGATGCATTGATCCGTTATATAAATTGAGATTGGAAAATGAGAAACTGAACTTGCAAAACTAGATGCAGATCTTTTGTAAAAGAAATGCTTCATTCTCTAGCTGTGTGCTTTTGATTGGTTGCACTTAGTTCATTATTTGCCCCAGAGACTGTTGTATTCAAGAGGGGAATGCGCCTTATGCTAGAGCGTTCGAATGCGATCTGTCTGCGGATACATTATTACGAGCAGCGAAAACGACTTATAGTGTAACCAGTCATGCTACTACATATGTAAAGATCCTAAATTTGTGGTCATCAAAATGACTAAATACACAAGTCGCTTATTTGTAAACTTTTGATCTTCTTCAACGCAGAAAGAGAGGAAAAGTTAGAGTACCCTAATTGATTTCATTCCAAAGAAGCATTGCTGCCGTTTTTTGTAATTAGTTCGTTCTTAATTTTATTCATATCACACCTTTACATCTGTAGGTGCAAAATCACTCGCGCAGAGGACTGTGCTCTTTTCCTCGCTGGCTTTTCATTTTTCAAACTTAAACTGGTTGATCGAAGTAACAACAAATCTCTAAATACAGAGAAGAAGCTAAGATTTGCTAGTAAAATGAGAAGCCTCAGTTTTTTGTGAATTTTAATTTAGGCTGCAATCAGTAAAATAGTTAGACCCAAACGTAGAATTACAAAAACGCTCAAATCA